GATGCTGCGTGAGAGTTTTCATTGCTGCTTTGTTGGCTGGGAGCCCCACCTCCCGCTAAGGAGGCCACAGCCCCACCGACGGATGAGGAGGCCAGGCAAGATGAGCTGGAATGTAGGCAGGAGCTGGGTTCTGCGTGTAGGGATACCCAGACTGTCGGTTTCTCATCCCTCCTAGATGGGCTCTGGAAGATGGTCGTTTATGTGCACCTCTTGGGCTGCACCCCACAGGCCTACAAGGCCTGTGCTTGCGTAGCTTCAAGACCAAAGAAAGAGCCCAGAGTCAGCAACAGAGACATCAAAAAAGAAAATTCAAGCTGAGAATTTTAATTTAAAGTGGACCTCCAGGGACTTCTCCAGCAGTCCAGTGGTTAAGACTCCGTGCTTCCACTGCAGGGGGCATGGGTTCGATCCCTGGTTTGATGAATGGGGGAGCTTGCTTGTCTGAAGCAAGTCCTGGTGCGTGACACACGGCCGTGCGCGGTGGCCTGGGGGCAGGACATGGCAGCAGTCTTCACTCTGCTCAACTCTTGAAGGTTGCCGATTCTTAAGGCTCTGCCCAGGTGATTTTCTTGTCTCTCTCGATGCCCTCTCCGTGACTGACTTTGTCTACTCCATGCCTTCCCTCTCTCTGTCTCCAGCCCCAGCCTCTCCCCTGATTTCCCATTTCTCTGGACATCTCCTTACAAACCTCTGGTGACTGGGAGGCCCCTTGGGTGCAGGAGAAAAGCCTGGGTATGGAAGGCAGAAGAGCTAGCTCCATCACCCACTTGGATCAGTCATTGCTGCTCTCTGAGCCTTGAATTTTCTCTCTGAGAGAAATGGGGTTGGCCTCACAGGTTGTTGGCGGGCGGTGGCTTCCAGGGAGTCTGTGGATCGACAGCCCTTTGAAAACTGTAAACTACGGAGCCCGCAGGAGGAGCAGCTCCATGTGCCCTGAGATCCGTCACGTGACCCGGGTGCCCATGTGGCCTTCCTCCCCTTTGCCTTTTGCCCAGTCCTCGCCTCTCAAGGCTGTCCTATCAGCCGCTCACACCAGAAACCTGAGCTCATTTTTGCCTCCTCCCCTCCCGTCGCCCCACATCAGGATCCATCAGCAACAACTCTTGATTCTGTCTCTTTGACGTCTCTCCCGACTATCTCCTTCCTCTCCCTTTCCACAGCTGCAGCCTAGTCTAGGCCCATCACTTCTCTGGATGGTTGCAGTGGCCTCGGCACTAGCCTCCCTGCCTCCAGTCTCACGGTCTCTTGATGGCCATCCTCTACACTGGCCACGATTACACAACATTGGATCACATCTTCCCTGTCCTCTAAACCCTGTAACAGCACCTCTTTGCCTCCCAGATGAAGTCTGAGCTGTTCACCTGGTACTCAAAGTCTTTCCTGATCAAACCCCTGCTCTGGCCTCAGCTCTGCTGCTCTCCACACGCACCCGCACTCAACTGTTTGCTTTTCCCTGAATCCCCTGTGCCTCCTGCCTTTTGTTCATGCCAGTCCCTCCACCCAGCATTTCCTCCCTTCTTCCCTTGCCTGCTGTGGGGTTGTCACAGCCCCCGTAGTGCACTGCAGAGTAGAAGAGTGAAAGGTGTACACACAGCATGCAGGCATTTTGATATGACAATGATCCCACTTTTGCCAGAAATCTTTGGAAATAGCCTCTCCTCCCCTAGGCTGAACCATCAGATGTGAGAGTTGCCCCTTAAACCCAAGATTTAGACTAGTGTGATCAACCAGATGGGCTGGTTTAGGGTTTAGGACACAAGGGTTTAGGGTTGACCAGATATCCACGGGGTGAGGTATGTCTATGAGATGCTTTGAGTGGAATTCACTAGATACTAAGACAGGTGGGATCTGGTAACCTCTTTGCTTGAGCTGGTGGTGTCAGATACCCTGGTGATGTCAGCCTTGGAGCCGGCTCAAGAGGACTGAGGCCAGAAAGGGGCTGAGACCCATCTGTCCACGTCCTTTCATTTCTCCCCCTCCGCTCAAGGGCCCTTGAGCTGCCAGCTACCACTCCTTCCCAACCTCACAGCAGCACTTTGTTCAGGTCTCGGGGGGCCATTCCAGCAAGTTTTAGCATAATCTGGGAGTTTATCCTGGTTCCACCACTTTCTCCCTGTATATCCTTGGGTAAGTGAATTAACTTCTTTGGGCCTCAGTTTCCTTTCTGAAAAATGGGGTTCTTAAATCCTACCAACTGCGGTATTCAGAGGATCAGCTGAAATGGTCCCTCCGAAGCTTTTGGTGTATGCACAGGAAATAAATGTCCTTCTGTCCTTCCCACTCCCCCTACACTCTATTTCAAGGGAGAAGACTTTGTTCCATTCACATCTGAGATACTCTTCCTACTCTGCGTGTGGCCCAGGGCCTAACATACGACAGGTGCCCGTAAGTGTTTCTGAATTGGTCATGTAAGGGAGGGTGACTTGGGGGGATAGGTAGTGCCCTGTCCAGGGCATTCAGACATGGGGTAAGGGCAACACAAATGCACCTGCCCCTTATGTCACACAGGCTTTAGGTTTTGAACCCTACAGACCTGGGTTCAAGTCCTGGCTGTGCTCTTACTTGCTCTGAAATTTGGGGCCTGTGATCACTGGTCTCCATGCCTCAGTTCCTCATCTGAAAAGGGATGGGGGGGATCCCCAGGTCAAAGGGGTGTGATGAGGGCCAGAGCCGACACACAGTAGGTACTCAGGAAATGGGACCCAACTCGTCCTCCTCCCTCCGTCCCTCCCTCCCTCCCTTCCTTTCTTCCATGTGAGAGATGTCTCCAAGGAGACGAGAGGAACTATTTAAGGAAAAGAGCTAAGGCTCTGGTGGGAGCAGATGGTAGCTCGGGCATCTGGGAGGCTGAGGCAGGTGGTCTGGCCCTTCAAGGAGACAGTGGAACCCAAGCACCTCCCGTCCCAAAAAGCACCAGGACTGGCCCTGGAGGTGAATCTATGTTGAGGGGCAGAGAAAAAGCATTTCTGGTGTCACAGAGAAGGGACAGAACACTGGACCTGGCTGTGCTTTTGACTCACTTGATGACCCTAGAAAAGTCCCCACCCTCATCTCTTGGCTTGTGGGCAAGTAGCAGGCCCCACTGAGTTGGGTAGGGCAGGGAGAAGGTAGGATTGCGGGGAGGAGGCTGAGTTCCAGGCTGAGACTAGTGTGAGGGAAGGTACCTGGCAGAAATTCATTCATTCGTTTGCTCACTCATCCATTCATTCCATTCATATGAATGAATGGAGCGCCTTCCTCAGCCAGGCCCTGAGCACACTTCATTTCAAGCCCTCCTCAGAACATCCTTGTTGTGATATTTTTTCCCACAGTGTACAGATGAGGAAGCTGAGGCTCTGAGAGACAAAAGGAGTTGCCCTCATTCACAAAGGAAGTCAAAGATTCTTTCCCAGTCTTGTCCTCATTTTTCATAGATCCCCACCACCTTCAGTTGAAAATCCTGATTCCTCAGAGGACTTCAAGGTCGTGATGATTCAGCCCTGGCTGGATTCTGGCTTCATCTTTGCACTGAGACTTCAGCCCCAATGAGCTGCCCACAGTGGCTTGCAAGGGCCTGGCCTGGCCTCCAGGCCTTAGTGTACATTGTCCCCTCTGGCTGGAATGTACACTCTGTCCTTCCTTTGCTCATCAGACTAAGCCCTGCACAACTTGGGAGTTACCTCTTCCCGGACATCTTCCCACACTCCCCCGACAGTTGGTCTGAGCCCCTCTGGGAATGGTGGGTTTTCTTGGGTCTCCCCTGGAGCTGGCAAGGCTCCTGAGACCAGAGACATTCCTCCTACAACTGTGTATCCCCGGTGCCCAGCATAGGGCTTGGCCCAAGTGGTATCAGTGAGCATGGAATGAATGAATGAACAAGATGAGGAACACCCTGGGGCTTCACTACCAGCTTCACTCCTTTTGTTCTCCAGACATTTCCCAGGCACCTCCTCCATGCCAGGCTTGATGCCAGCCCCAGGGACAACAATAACCCAGGCTTGCAATTTACTCTGTGGTTTACAACGAGCTTCTATCATAAAAGTCACAACCACCCTGCAAAGTAGGTACTCATGCTTATGTCCATTTTCCAGATGTGGAAACTGAGGCCCAGTGAGGTTGAGTGACTTGCCTAGTCACAGCTAGTACGTGACAGAGCCAAGATCTGAACCCAGGCTTGCTCAGTCCAGAGGTCACACTCCTTCCACACCATCAAAACAAAGCAAAACAAAGCAAAGGAATATGTGAATACTCAAAAAAATTGGAAAACATAGGAAAAGAGAAGGAAGAGTGAAGTCCTATATTCCGCCCCCCTTCGACCCTGGGATATATTTCATTAACAGTCTGGGAATCTCCTACTTACTTTTGCTGAGCCTCTGTGTTCAAGGAAGTGACTTGGTCAAGGTCACACAATGCAAGCAGCAGGATGTGAGCCCAGATTGCTGGCCACAATTTGAGGTGAATTCAATGTGGCCTCAGACCTCAAGGAGCTATATCCAGTTTTATGTAAGAGACAGAAGCAAACAGGTATGTTTTACTTTGGGTTCCCCCCAAAAGCAGCAGCCCCTGAGACAGTGACTTGAGCACAGGTAGTTCATTTGGGAGGTGATCCTAGGAAGTGGGAGGGAGGGAGTCTGGAGAGTGAGACAGGAGAGGAGAGAAAGTCAATAAAGTGTGCATTAGCACATGGCCACTGGAATGCCATCCTGCTGGGGACCTTCCGAGGAACAGTGGAGAAGATGCCTCAGAACTGTCTCCCTGAAGGAGGAGCATTTACCCACTGATTCCTGACCCCATGATGGAAGGATGCTCCTAAGGGCATTAACTCCGCTGCATTTCCAAGTTGTCCTGTGCTTGAGCTCTTGTGACTTCAGAAAATGCTGTCTGTTTACAACAGCTAAGACATGGAAGCTACCTTCACATGCCCAACAACAGATGAATGGATAAAGAAGATGTGGTACATATATACAATGGAATACTACTCAGCCATAAGAAAGAATGAAATAATGCCATTTGCAGCAACATGGATGGACTTAGAGATGATCATACTCAGTGAAGTAAGTCAGACAAAGAAAGACAGATATTATATGATATCACTTATATGTGGAATCTAAAAAAATAACACAAATGAGCTTATTTACAAAACAGAAACAGTCTCACAGACATAGAAAACAAACTTACGGTTACCAAAGGGGAAAGGGAGGGATAGATTCTGAGTATGGAATTAACAGATACTCACTACTATATATAAAATAGATAAACAGCTAGAAGTTACTGTATAGCACAGGGAACTATATTCTGTATCTTGTAATAACCGATAATGGAAAATAATCTGAAAAAGAATATACATATCACTGAATCACTTTGCCATATATCCGAAACTAACACAATATTGTAAATCAACTATACTTCAATTATTTAAAAAAAAGCCATCAGGCAGAAGAATTGGAGAGACCTGTTGGGTGCCTCCAGTGGACCAGTGTCCGGGAGCTGTCCACCTTGTCTGCTGCTGGACCCCAAGGTGGGTGGCAAAAGCATTTGTTATAAGGTGTTTGAGACATGGTGTGTCTTTGCAATCATAAAGCAACTGGGGAGTCTACACTACTGTATTGTATACTTGAAATTTGCCAAGAGTGTAATCTTAAGTGTTCTGACGAGAAGAAAAAAAAGGTAACTATGTGAGGTGTGGACGTGTTAATAAACTTGATTGTGGCGGTCATTCCACAATATATACATATATCAAAACATCAAGTTGTACACCTTAAATATATACAATTTTTATTTGTCGATTATACCTCAATAAAGCTAAAGAAGAAAGAAAGAAAGAAATGCTTGGTAATACCAAGGGGAAAACATAAAGTATTTGGGGTGACAAACTGGGAACGGGGAATGGGGCGTAGAAGTTAGGGAAGGTTTCCCCAGAGTTGGTGACATCTGAGTCGAATTTCAAAAGATGAGTATCCAATGGGGGAGAGGCATTCCAGGTAGAAGGACCTGCATAGGCTGAGGTGTGAAACAGCTTGTCTTTGGGAGAAACTGCAGAGCCTGTACCTGAGTCATGGGATTTGACCAGAATTGAATTAGGAGAGGGTACAAAAGACAAATGGTGAAGAGTTTTGAATACCAGGCTAACTCTGAATACCAGTTCAAACTTTCACCCCAGGTGGTAGGGAGCCAATGCAGAGTTCTGAGCAAGGGAGGGACACTTCTGTTTTATAGAAAGTTCTCTCTGAGGCTGGTGTGGAGGATGTATTGGAAAGGGAGAGACCGGAGCAGAAGTCCTGGGAGGAGGCTGGAGTGGTCCAGTCAGGGGATGCAGAGGCTGAGCCAGGGCAGAGACAGAGCAATGGGGAGGCGGGGCCAGCCCCAAGGGCTGTGTAGGGGAGAGAGAGTTCATCGCGTGCAGTAGGGTGAGGAGAAAGAGGCCAACCCTCACTGCCTGCAGGGGCCCTGGGATTTTCCTCCCTCTCCATTTCCCCCAGGGGCTGACCAAGGCTGACCAGATGCCTCGTTGACCTGGAGAGCAGTGTTGGGGCCAGGCATCCCCGGTTCTGATCTTGACGGATATGGACATTATCTGGTTTGGTCACAAGCCAAGACTCATCATTAGCTAGATGTGGTTACCACTCGGATCTAGTCATTACCAGAGCTGGTCTTTACCCAAGGCTGGAGGTTACCTGCTGCCAAGTGGACTCTCTCCACTTGGTTTGAGTCATTCTGTCCTCTCCTAGGGTCTTTCTTGAAGTCTGTGGCTCTGCATGGTCTGAGCTGGTGGCCTGATGGCAGGAGTCAGAAGAGAATCTGACACCCAGGCTGCTACAGCCTCTTTCCCATGATATCAACCCCTTTCTGGCCCCTGGCTGGGTCAGGCAAACATCCCACAGTCCCACAACTTCTGTTCCCTTCAGAGCCCTGACCGCTCTGTGCTGTGCTTGGGTTAGAACACACGTTCCCAAATGGATCATGCCTGTCCTCAACTCTCCCCATCTCTCTCAGTCTCTCCATCTCTCTTTGAGTCTCTGTCTCTATGAGTTTCTCTCTCTCTTTTTAAATACGGACCTCAGGGACTCATGATTGAGTTAAGAGCATCCTTGGCTCATGACACAATCTCAGGATTGGTCCATGCACGGCCCTGTGTATATAATATAATACAATACACTATAAAACACAACATATGTGCCTGTGAACCACTGTCCCCCTACCCACCCACCCCCGCCCCAAGAACTAGAACAGAAACAAAATCTGACATCCATTTCTGTGCTGCAGCCCATCCCATCCCCCAGCTCTCTGCCAGAGGTCACTAATATTCTGAATTTTGAGTTTATCCTTCCCTAGTTTCTTTGATTTTAGTCTTCTTACATGTATGAATGCCTAAACAATTTATTTGTTTTTACTTATTATTTTAAACAGTATACTGTATAGAATGTTGTCTTAAAAAAAAAAACCTCAATACCACGTTGGTGAGAATTCATCCATGTTGTGTGTAGTTGTGATCCATTCATTTTAAGGGCTACGTGTGACTATACCACAATTTATTTATTTGTTCCTTCTCTCGTCAATTGATAATTGGATTGTTTTCAGGTTTTCTGATCTTACGAACAGTGCTGCTGTGGATATTCATCTGCATTTCTCTTAATGCTCTTCAAAAATGTGTTGTGTTCCAGGGTCGGCATCACCTGGAAACTTGTTAGAAATGTAGATTCTCCAGCCCTGCCCTAGACCTGCTGAATCAGAATCTGCCTTTGAACAAGATCCCTGGGGGATTCCTATGAACACTAAAGTTCGAGAAGCATTGGCCCAGGCTACGTGTGCAGGGTTCTCTTGGGCACACGTATCCAGGAGTGGATTTGCTGGGTCACAGTGGTGTTGCAGTACAGAGAGCTGCACTGGTCTACATCTTTACCCACACCTGGTATTGTCAGACTTTCTCATTTTTGCCCGTCGAATGGGAATAAAGTGGCAACTCATCACTGTCTGGACTTACCTCTCCCTGATGACTAATGAGGTCAGGCAACTCGTGTTTACCGGCCATGTTTCCCTTCTGTGAAGTGCCCTGTTGGTGATTTTTGCTCTTCTGGGCTCACTCAGCTCTACCCCTGCCTTTGCACTTGCTATTCTCTCAGCCTGAAACAACTCCCCCCTTCACTGCCCAGTGTCAGTTCTTCCAGGAAGCCCTCCATGACTGCTGCTCAGGCTGTGAGCCTCTTCAGCCTCACTGGCAGGAAAACTTGGTGTCACTGTCCCTTCATTTCATCTCCTGGAGGCTCTTCCTCACCAAAGAGAAGGCAAACCTTACGGCTTGGCCCCCACAGAGTTTTGATATTTTTTTTTTCAACTTAGTTCCATCATTTAAAATTTGGAAAATTTTGTATTTTAAAAAATCTGAAAAATTTTGTATTTTAAAAAATCGGAATTGCTGATTTCTCTTCAAAAAAACAAGATGTAACCCCACTGCGCCTCTTTTTCTACATGGCAACACTCAGCTGGTGCTGAGTAGGGGCCGCCCCTGCCAGACCACGTGTCACAGTCCCCACACCTCCATGCTCACCGCCTGCTTAATGACCTGCCTGGGCTCTGTGAGCTTTTAAGTTTGTGACGCTTGCCTAAGCACACCAGTTGTTTATTCCTCTAAATCTCTCCCGTCCTTTTCCTTCTCCCCATAACTCTGTCTCTGTCCCCCCTCAGGCCTTCACACCTGTCCCCTGGACTGTCACACCAGCCTCCCCATGACCTTGCTTTTCTAGTCTTGCCCCTTCCAGTCCACTGACCGTGTCACAACCCCACTCAAGAACCAACAATGGCTCCCCATTGCCTTCCCAGGCATCTCCTGACTTTCTAAAAAAAAAAAGCAGGGACTTCCCTGGTGGTCCAGTGGTTAAGACTCTGCGCTCCCAATGCAGGGGGCCTGGGTTTGATCCCTGGTCAGGGAACTAGATCCCGCATGCTGCAACTAAGACCCAGTGCAGACAAATAAATAAATAATTGTTTTTAATTTAAAAAAAGCATTATTACATTATGAATATTTCATGTTCACAACAAAGTCTAGAGAACAGCATAACAAACACCCATGTACCCACCACCCAGCTTAAGAAATAAACCATTTCAAGTGTAATTGAAGCCCCATTACATTCCCTTCCCTTTCTCCCTCTGGGTCACTACTCTCTTGAATTTGCTCTTTATTACTGCCATGTGTGTTTTTATGTAATACACTTATATTACATATGCATGTGTCCCTAAACAATATATAGTATTGTGGGTTTTCAAACTTTATATATCTGGCATCAAACTGTGTCTTCCATCTGCAATTTGCTTTTTTCATCCAATGATGTATTAAAATTTTTTTTATTGTATTGAAGTATAAAATTCATACAAAGAGTACACGAATTATAAGTGTATACAACTCTGAATTTTCACGAATTGCATCAACAGTGTGTTTTTCTGAGATTTCTTTTCATGGACACATGTGGCTTGCATTCACCTATTTTGAAGATCATGGTGTGGAGAGCTTTCCCACTGCCTGAATTCATCACTATTTACCCCATCTCTGCTTGATGGATAGCTAGGCTGTGTCCAACTTTCCACTACTACACATGACGCTGCTATGAACATCCTTGTACAAGTTTCCTGGGACCCCTGTGTGAGGTGTTCTCCAGGGCAAAGCCTGCTCATCTTCAACCTGACCATATGTTGTCAGGTCACTGCCCAGCCCTCGGCTCTTGCTGGCTCCCAGCTCAGACAATAAGGTCTTCCCAACTGCTCCAGGCGGCACATTCTCTGTGGCCCTATTGACACTCTGCCCAAACATAAACCACCTCTTTGCCTGCCACACACTCTCCTTCCTCCCCCTGGAACTCCAGACTCACTTCTCCTTCCAGGCCCTACTAAAGCTGCCTCCTCCAAGGAACATGACCTCATGGTGTCATCTCCTCTGAGTGATATCCTCTCACCACAGTTGTCAGAGCCCATGAAGACAGAGACAAACCTAGACCAGGCAGTGGGAAAGGAGAAGGGAGGCATGGATGGGCAGCTAGGGAGTGTGAGAAACTGGGATATGTGACTGATTGCTCAGGGCTTTGATGGATGAATAGGAGTTTGCCGGGTAGAGATGGTGGGAAGGCATTGCAGACACAGGGAAAGGCAGAGAAGCACTGGAACAGACGTTTCTGGGATGAGGATGAGGCAGGGTGGGTGGGCAGTGGATCAAGCCGGAAAAAGAGCTTGTAAGGAGCCTTGAATGCCAACCTTTAACACCATTTTGGCTCTGCATTCAACTGGCATTCTTGGGAGATGTGGGAGCCAGGGAGAGTGAACACATTCATTTGACACTTACTGAATGCCAGGCACCAGCAAGGAGCTTAACATCCATTATCTCCTTGTTTCCTCAATCCCAGTTGGGGATACTATACTAGTGTTGTTCCCATTTTAGGTGGAGAAACTGGGGCTCCAAAAGAACAGTCTCTCATCTCTGATCTCAGAGCCTCAGGAGAGGTAGGATGGGTACTCTGCCCGGTCCATCCGACTTCAGGGATTGTTTTTAACCCCCGTGCTGCCATAGGCAAGAAGACACCAGGGAGAGGTTTCTGCAAGAAACAGGTCACCAGGAGGGGGCACACGTTCCCAGCGGCAGGACCCCTAGGTTCGAAACCCAAGGGCCTCCTGACTCGCACGGTATGGCCCAGACCAATCTCGTCCTCTGTGGGCCTCAGTTTCTCTTCTCCACGGGGCCGGCGCTCGTCAACCTACGTTCCCGCTGATCCACTCTGCAGCCTGGAGTTCCAGGTTCCCGCGCTACCGCAGCCCGCGCTGTGTGACCTTGTGCCAGTAGCCTGCACTCTCTGGGCGGCCAACCAGGGATCTCCAAGCGCCCTTCCGGCTAGCGCGCGACCCAGCGTCGCCGGCTGCGGAGACCCTCCCCCTCCCCCCCGGGGTTGCGGGGGCGTGAGTGGCGGTGGGCGTTGGAAACGGCGCCCCCCACCCCCAGCCCCGGGCCGGTGGCTGCATCCGCGCCTGGTTTTGGGCGCAGCCGCGCGGCCCCCTCCCCCGCGCGCCTCTCCCCGCCCCCTCCCCGCCGCTCTCGGGGAGCCGGGGCCGCGCGGCTCCTCCTCCCGCAGCCGCATCTGGGGCGCCGCGCCGGTCAGAGGAGAGGCATGGGGCGCCCGCGGGCCGGGGCCGGGGCCGGGGCCTAGGCGAGAGGACCTGCGAGCGGACCTGAGCGGCGGCGGCGGCGCAGCGCAGCGGTCGAGCGGGCCGGAGGCGGCCGGGGCGCCGGGCGCAGGTGAGGGCGCGGGGGTGGCGCGCGGTAGCCCGGACCCCCTTTCCGGGGCCGGTGCGCCCCGTCCCTCTTCAAGACCCCCAAATCCGGTCTCCTCTCGGACAGACCTCCCTAAACCGAGGGGCGGCGCTGGCGCAGAAAAGCCCCCTCCCCCTGCCAGTTCTGTCTTCTGAGCCCCAGAACCGAGGGGGCGGCTCTGCGGCTGGGAAGCCCCCTTCTCTGGGTGGGATCCCCCAATCTAGGTCTCCCCCGACCCTCAAGCCGGGGGGCGGTGGCGCTGGGCCCGGAACCCTCTATTCGGGGCCGGGCCCCCATTCCACCTCTTTTTCCCGCGGACTCCCCCTTGTCAACCGGTTGCCAAAGCTGGGAAGCCTCTCCTCCGGCCCAACCCTCCATCAGCAGGGTGGACAGGGGTTCAGGTGGACCCCTCCCCTGCCCACCAACCTTGGAGCTAAGGAGACGGAGGGTTCTGACGGCCGGCCGGCCCGGGCATTCCTCCATTCAACCCAGCTGCTTCCGATCCCGCCTCAGTAGCCCCGGGAGCCTGCCCGGCCGGCTACCCCCTTCCCGAGCTCTTTCCCCGGACCTGGCATCTGGGGAGGGGGCAGGGGCCACCCCCCCACCCCCGCTGCATAGCGCCCCCTCCCTGTTTGCGTACCCGGGAGGGGCCGGGCTGACCTGGGCACCTGGGCTGGGGGGGTGCTCACATGGCTACTGGAGGCCCCCACGTGCGGCGCCCCACGGTGAAAGGGGGATCGTGTTCAGAGCGGGTGGCAGGTGGACCAGGTGGCCCGAGAGGCCAGCTGGGTTCAGATGTGCCTGGCCTGCTGGGAGGGGATATGTGCTACCTGGACATGTGATGGCCTCTGGCCTCTTTCGACCAAACCTAATGCCTCCAATCCCCCTCCATCCTTCCATTCCTCTATCCCTTCATCCCTCTCCCTTCTCCCTTCTCCCTTCTTCCTCGGTGCTGCCTGTGTTGCAGAGGGGCTGCCAGAGACTGTTGATGTGGGGAAAAAAATGAAATAGGGGAAGGGCTTATGGGATGGGGAAGGCGAGTTGGGGGATGAGGGGGCGGAGGAGGTGCCCCTAGAATGGGAAGCTTCAAGCTTGGAAAGCAGGGCTAATGGGGGGAGGGTTCCTGCACCCACACCTGCCTGGAAGTGGAAATGACAGAAGGGGAGGGGGCTGCAGTCCCCAGCCTCAAAGGAGGCTGGGCTGGCCTGGCTCTACCCGGTTGCACCTCCCGGCCCAGCCCAGTTCCCTGGGGTCCTGGCTTCCTCTACCTCTGGGCCTTCGCTGGTGGGAGGGGGCTGTGTCTTCTGCCAGGCCAGAGGTGGTGAAGCGAGATTGTACAGGACCGTCCCAGAGAGGCTGTTGGAGGAGCCCAGTTTCTGTCCCACAGGGGGGGACTGTGGGCTGCCTGGCCCCAGGGTGGCCTGAGGGGCCTGAGCCAGACTCCTGTGGGCACCAGGACTGGGTGGGGCCGCAGAGCCGGCTAGCCCGTTGGTAGCTGGAGTCGGGAGCCACCGCCAGGGCCCGGAACTGGGCTGTTGGCAGCCAGTCGGCGGCAGATGCCAATTGTATTCCCAGCAGCTCCTGGAGACACCGGCTGTGCACGTGGGGCAGGCGTGTGTGCTCGTGCCTGCGCCGTGGCAGGGGTGCGCCAGGGCTCCTGGGTCCTCCTGGAGCTGAGAGACGGCCGCTGGACTTCAGCGAGTGTGCTTGTGTGTGGTGTCCCTGGCACCCGCCCCTCATTCATCCATCAGAGGCCAGGCTAGGCCTGTGCAAGGCGCTGGGGACATGTGATGGCCTGATGTGGTCCCCACCCTCGAGGAGCCCCTGTTTTGTCAGGGGGAGGCGGTCTGTGTTGGGCACTGGGGACGGAAGGCAAGGTCCAGACTGGAGAGGAGGTGTGGGGTGGAGCGGGCTGATGGACGGCTGTTATGTGGGACCCGGGGCAGCATCCCGCTAGTGCCAGCCTTGCTATGGAGCTGTGGGTTTGAGGGCTGTGCCCTGAGCGCGAGGCTGCCTGGCAGCTGAGTTGGTGTTTTTGAAGACAGGCTGTGCAGCACTTGGAAACTAAGGATAGATTGTGTACTTTGGAGCTTTCAGAAGACTCAGTGACGTATTGGATGTACCGGGGGCACCCACTGGCATCTCGTTAGGTTCTTGTGTGGTTTATGGGCCACTGGCTTCATCAGTGCCAGCGTTTCTCCGTGATGGGGAGGCCCTGAGGAATTGTACAGGGCACTCTGTGTGATGGGGGCAGGTGGTCTCTACCCTCCTATACATCTGTGATTGACTGATTGATTGATTGATTCATTCATTCATTCAAAAAAGCGTTAAAAAACAGCACTGTCTGATCACAGTGCATTTAAACCTTTCACTTAAACATTCTGGAATGTGAATTCATAAAATCGTGAATGCAGATTTTTTTTAAGCACACAGTAAGTACTCAGTAAATGCCCACGGCTTCCAGGATGAAGCCCAGCCTCCTTCCCCAACTCACTACTCCTCTAGCCACATCTTGCACCGCTGCCCCACCCCCCCACCTTTTGGCTCCCGTCCCCCTAGCCTGCTTTCAGTTACTGGAACAGGCCAGGTTCCCTCCAGCCTCAGGGCCTTTGCACATGCTGATTCCTCTGCCTGAACCTCCTGCCTTCCTTCCCCTCATTTTCCTGCTTAACTACTACTAATCATCCAGGTCTCCAAAAAAAGCTTTCCTGGTACCTAGGCCAGGTGTGTCCCTGTCACCACCTTTACAGCCCCACGGGCCTCTGCCTTCACTGACCCGGTCACCGTTCCTTATTATTGGATGTCGCTCAGTGTGGTTGGTGTGGGGAGGGCCAGGGTTATGCCTGCCTCTTCACGCCATTCCCCTGGGGCTGAGGACAGGTCTAGGCCATTCTCAGTCAAGGACTGGGTGGTGGGGTATGGTGGGACCCTTGGCCAGTCCCAGTCGCCACCTTGACCATCCCTGTGGGTTCCTGGCCTCCAGCTGGGTCTGCAAACCTAGAGGCATTTGGCTGGGCTCTGAGAGGCCTGTGGCCTCTAAAATCCCAGTACATCTAGGAGCCCCCAGAGGCTCTACATGAGGGTGAGGGGCCACACTTGGGCAAGACCCTACATCTTCGGTGGTGTGTCTGTGCCCATCTTGCCAGGCATTTATTCCTGAATCGGTTCATCTGCTCACATCATCACCTATTTACTGGTTCATCCCTTCTTTCTTTCACTAGGCCACCAGCTCCTTCACCTCTCCAGTTCCTCATCCTCCATTCTGTCTTTGGGCCACCAGTGCTTCCTGAGGCCTGCTGAGTGCCCACCCCTGTGCCAGGCATGGGGACCCAGAGGCCCCCCACAGGGCCCCGCTCTGTAAACTCTAGTCATCTGCCAGGCCCCTCTCAGTGATGGAGGCTGAGGCTGCTCGAGTGCTGGGAAGGGGCCACTAGTTAGGACCTGCAGGGAGTGCTTCCTGGAGGACACACACTGGACCTGGGGTGGATTTTGGAGGATTAGAGGGGTTTGGGTCGATGGAGAATGGCGGGGAAGGGCACTGCTGGCTGAGAGAACTGCATGGTTAGAGGCAAGGAGGCAGCCAAGTGCTGGGCAGGCTTGGCGTTGGTGTGGGTATGTGTCCTTCTAGGAGGAGGTGGCCTCTTGAGCAGGCTGGCCATGGAGGTGGGCAATGTACTGTCATGGTGGGTGTCCAGCCTGTGCCAGGAGCCTTGTTGCTGCCTTGCTGTGTGCTCTTGGATGAGACATGTCCCCTCTCTGGACTGCCTTAGTAAAGTGAAAGCTAGGGCCTGGTGAACTCAGAGGGGCCTTGCATCTACCCACAGTCTGGAGTCTGTGATCCTGACAGCCCGGGAAGGGAGTCCTCAGGGGCCCTGCCTCTTCTTTGCGCGTGAGGAGGGCTGTCCCACATTGGGGCTTGGTGGCTTTGAGGGGCTGGGCGTGAGGCTCCGAAGTTCCTTCTAATGGAGGATCCTGATGGTTAAGGGAGTGTGGAGGCCGGCTCAGCTGGGAGGGGGCCCCTGCCGTGCAAACTGTCACTCCACCGTCTTTGGGAAAGGCTCTCACTAAGGAGGGGCTTCCTGTGTTGCACCAAAGACAAGCCCACTCCCCTCTTCATCAGACTCTTGTGGGGGGAACCCTTTAAAACTCAGGTGACTAGATTTTCTTTTGTTGTGGCCTCTGGGGGGGCGGGGGGTGGAGCCTGTTCTGCTCCCACACCCACTCCAGTGTCTTCTGGTGGTTGCCCCAGGCCAGGACTGAGGCCTGTAGGGTATGTGCGATACTCTACAGTTTGCAGAACACATTTAATCCCCTCATCTTCTAACCACCTCCAGGGAGGGGTATGCATAAAAACAGAAATTGTCTCCATTTGACAGATGAGGAAACTGAGGCTCAGAGCAGTTGGGTGGCTGCTCAGGGTCACTCAGAGAGTGGGGATAAACCCAGGAGTCCAGGAGTCCCCTGGACTGAGCCCTGGGGGTGCCGGCTCCGAGGGCCCCCTTGCTCACGGATCGCAGATCATTTCCCAAGCCGAGGAGCGGGGCCCAGATCCCTCTGTGCTGGGTTTCGCAATGCCGCCTCCTCCTTGCCGAGCTGTCTGACGTGGCCTTTTCAAAAATGAATGGAAGCAAATTTTGTTTGGAAAATTTTGCTACACCCTATAGCAGGGCTAGTTGCAAAACCAGGCTTGGGGATCCCTGCTGGTGTTGATGATGGTAATAGTAATGACAACGGATCATTGACTAACACCCATTCATGCCACAGAGCATCAGTGACCGTCGCCTAGGAGCCATGCACAGTGCTGGACCCTCTGTTGAGCGAGCACCGCCTCTGAGCACCGTAAATCCGGCCCCTCCTTTTGTCCCATGCCACCCTATGATTACTCTCCCCGTTTTACAGACGAGGAAACTGGGGCAAAGAGAGCTATAGTAGATTGTCCAATGCCCCACAGCTGGTGAAGTGGCGGCACCAGGATTTGAATCCAG